CCAGCAATGGGAAAAGGAGGCATGCAAGATTTCTGGGCGCAGTGTAATGTATCTACAGAGGACCTAAGAACAGCATATCAAAAGAAAGGAACAGAGAATTTCTCTGACACACCTTCTTCCTCAGTGATATGTATTTCTGAAAGGATTGCTGTTTTCATCCCTGTCTGTCCTCTGCACACTGCATATCTGTTTTTCCCCATACAAGGCACTTGCTTTGGTTTTCTGAAAAGACTTTTGCTTAGAGATTTCTGCAATTCTTTTCAGTTTAGCTGAGACAGTATGTACTACTCCAAAAGATCAATTGAAATACAATTTTAAAAAAGTCAGCATCTTAGAGCAAGGTCTGTTAGGCTGTGGAATAGTCTCGCAGGGATGCAATGGAAATGACTTTGCTTGCAACAAATAAAACTGCTGAAACAAAATACTAGAAATTATAGAGTAGAGAGCAAATGAGATTCTTGCAGAGACTGAGCTGGGATTTAGCAGACATGATGGGTCAGTACAGGCAGTTCGGACTTTTTTTTTTTTTGTCCTCTCCAACTCTACTTGTGTAAACAAAAAAGGAATGCATTTTGTTCAAACTAAAGAAAAAAGTCACATAAAATCACTCATTTTTTATATACCTAAATAGTTCTCCCATAGTTTAATTGAAGCTGTAATTTCCTACGTTTCAGTACTGTGTTCAAAGTCATCATATATTACATATAACAGACAAAGCTACATTTGTTTTAAGTAATCATCTCTTTTGAAGTGCATTGTCTAGATTTAAGACTTTCTAACTTCGTAAGTTGTTTCACCATCCCGAAATTTCCAAAAGCTGTGTGCATGCACATTTTCTTTTTCTGAGATGCTAAGGGTTAGAGCCTTGTCTGATTTAGTTATTAATTCTCACTGTTCCCCATCCACAAACTGTGCTACATTTCAGTTTCCACAAGCAAAACTCATAGTGCAAGCTCAGGCAATCCTGCAAAAACGTGCCACGGCATCTGTTCATTGTATTCAGTTTTCAGGACACTATTTCCTTCTACTTCTTCATATAAATTGTGATGAAACACAAGATCCATGACATATTCTTGTCCTGTATACCAGAAAGAAGCCATTTTATCTTAAATGCAGAAGTGGTTAGATATTCATGGAATACCAGGAAAGGTCGGGCTTAAAGCGTTTAAGGTATTTCTCTCATTTGTCTGGATAAAATGTAATAAATCATATATTCCTGATGGAAGGTAAAGCCTGAGTAAAATTCTACTAAAATGGAATTGGATGCTTATGAAAGCTATGGTACTCCTGTGTCTCTAATTTATAATGCCTGCTGTATAAAAAAGAAATCTCATAAAGTGACCTTGAAGGATGTAGGGCCAAATTCTTTCTTACCATTTCTAGCTAATTCGCAAGCACCTTGTGGTCCACTGGACACTATGGCAAAGACATGGTTGGACCATCTAGCACAAATACCTGTAAAGATGGAAGTGTGAGGTGAACAAGACCCTCAGATTCAAAGCCACAAGCTTTGTATGGACTTATCATAAGAAAACAAAAGCTGTTTAAGCGCAGATGACACCGGCTAGTTGCATTAAAAGATCTGTGTATGAGTTTTATAGCTGATTTTAGATTATGCTTGTCTTTCTGTTGGATAGAAGAGATCAGAGCCTCTGGGGGAGGAAAAAAAAAAAAAAAAAAAAAAAAAGCAGAAATTTCAGCTCTTAGCTCCAGGGATGTAAGGATGACCGAAATGGAACAGCTGGGATACCCAGATTTATTCTTTTAACAGATGCTGAAAAGAAGATCTCTTTGCTTTTCTCTGTTGTTCCAGTTTCAAGAGCAATAGCATTGCACCAATTTATTTCTAGGATAATCAGTGAATGTCATGGATATCCATAATGAACTTACAGATCCCTCGGATGAATCCAAGGAGCCTTGGATCAGACCCAAAAGTGCAATTCATCTTTCAATAATTGATCCCTATTATATCTGAAACTGAAAAATCTGTACGAGTGGTAGGTCACAGATTTCTCATCCTCTATCTATGGATAATTTTAAGGATTTGGATCATTTGTAAGCCTGAACTCTACAGTTAGTTTGCTTTAAAGCTCCATATTGTATCTAGTTTTCCCGTGGGCTTTTATTTTCATTTGATTTCAACAGATGTTATTTACTGCTATTTCTCTCTGCTTTGGAGAAGGATTTATCATTGAGAAGTATTTTCTTTTTAGTGCACAAATACATAAAATCCAGGCATGAAGCCTGACCAAAACAGCTGGAACGTGACACTGAAATTAACGCTATGGAGCTGCTTCTCTAATCTGCTGAGCAGTTTATATAAATGCAGTTTAAATAAAATGAGTCTGCAAGCAGCAAAGATTAAAGGATATTAAATCCTGGCTTTAGAAATGATGGCCATGATGGCAGGAACTATCCTACAGTGTGCATTTTTTTCTTTCATATAACAAGGTTATCTGGCCTCACAAGCTTCTTAGGGTAAACTTAATTAAAGTAATCTAAGAGAAAAAATGCAAAAGGAGAAACAGGTAGCTGTTCTGATTTTGGAAATGAAGTATCTTAAAATATGTATATTTCTGTGTGCTAGAGGTATGTCTCCCTGTACATAGTGGAGGACTTAGAGGGAGAAAGCTGTTGCATATTTCTTTTTCCTATGACTTTGCATACACGTAAACACAAGGATGGCTTGCATAAAATGGAAAATTCATTCACGTTGTTCATAGCATGGAGGGAGAGGGAGGCAGGAGGGGAGGGGCATTTCCCTTTTCCTGGGAGACAAGAGCTCAGTGAATAATAAAGGTTTCCTCCAAGAACAGAATATGCTACACATGCTGGCAATGCATTTTTCAGTGTTTCTAATGTTTCTATACAGCCGTGATTCGTGGATATAATAAAATATTGATAACCGTTTCCACCATTCTATCATGCAGCAAAAAAGTCTTTATGTGATCCAAATTTAGCATTCCTGCAATTAACTGGAGACTGCAAGTTGTTTCTTGCCCTGGTCGAAAAGCTCTGTGCCACCCCATCTGCTGCTCCAAATGCCAGACCTCAGAAATATCACTGGACGGCAGGGCTGTTTGTAAAGGAGTGTTTGCTATTGTATTCAAGTTTCTGATTAGCTTAGTAAAAACATTTCCCTACCAGTTTGTATTACTGAGCTGTTGCTGAGCTACAGGCCCAAGTCTAATCTCAGATTGATGAAGTGTATCCAACATGACATTTGACTCAATCTGCTCATAAATAATAATAATACTTTACATTTATAGAACCTTTTCAACAAGAGCTCTCTCAAAAGGCCTTTTTGACCTCCAGTTTATCTGTTGTGACTCTCCCTGAATTAGAGGCAAGTGTAATGTCCTCTACTCCACTACCACATTTGGTACAGCAATGGCCATGAGACAAATCACATTCACAATGAGATTTCAGCTGTCTTATCTACATGATGCGCAACAATCTATCTCAGTGGGTATCACCTCTAATATTATTAGGGACTCAATCACTCAGAAATCTGTCAACCATATACAAATCTGAATGCTCAACAAGTACAACTTCATTTTTTTTCCAAATCTGGAATCTACAAACCACAAATAATTACATAGACTTAAGAAGATAGTTTGGTAATATTTACTCCAGAGTAGTTCTAATTTTAAGTACAATTATCTGATGGATGAAAACATTAGTTTCACCAAGTGAAAAAAGAGGCTCCTGAGCTTATTCTGGGTTTAAGGTGTTTGTTCCTCTGCCTTAACTAGAGAACCTACAGAAATAGTGTCACACAGTGGTATATTTCAATACCAAATGTAAGCGTTTGCTCAGGTCATATCAAAATAAGACTTCGGTCTGTTTATTGTTAGGATTTTTTTTTTCCACCTTAGCTTGTGAGGCTAGATTTTTAAAGGCATGAAGGCATCAAGCAATGCAGATAGGTGTTTTCAGATTCACGTGCTATACCTATTGCAACTGTTGAAGTCTAAATCCCATGAATAATATCACCTTTGATAAATTGTGGAGGCTGGCTTCAACAGTTTGCCAATGCACAGTATCCATCTACATTCCTATCTGCCCAGAACTCATCATAACACTTTTCCTCCTGGCTCCTGGTGAAAGCAGAGGTAAAACTTCTATTGCCTGCAAGAACAGAACTCAGCCAAGTGGAATTCTAGCCTTTTTATTTTTAAGGTAATTTATTTATTAGAGATAGTTTTACTGTTGATGTTTTGTGTGCTCTTTGTTCGCATTTATGTGTGTGATATTCTTTTGATTTGAAAAAATCCTCATGTACTTTAGCTTACTTTACAGTAGCTTTATGGCTCATGGGCTATTCTAAAGACAGCCCAGGAAAAACTACAAAAATACATGGAATGAGCAAGGATAGAAAGAGAATGCATCAACTCCTGCATGAGAAAATCTCAGCTTGTAAATGAGAGATTCAACCATAAATTCCTCCTCTGAATCAGGCAGAACAAGGACAAACTTTGCACTGAGTGCTTAGAGATTTTAGCTGTGCTGGCACAAACTCTTAGATCTCTGGTTTTACATTAAAAATGTAGAAAATCTTCTTTTTAATCCAGTATGGCTATATTCCCCAAATTATGCCAATAAGGCCATTATATAGCATCTTGTCCTTGATAAGATGCCCATAGAATCAGCAAGTACCAAAAGTAAGCAGAACTATGGTCTTACGATACATCATAGGCATGTTCCTTTACACATCCTGGCCAGGTCTGGTTTTTTTGCTTTGTTGTTTTGTTTCTGCTTCTTGGTGGTTTTTTTTTTTTGTTTGTTTGTTTGTTTGTTTTAATTTATTTTGTTTTGTTTTGCTTTTGTTTTGTTTTTAAACCTTTTTTCACCTGTTGATACTCCTGTACTCACATCCAGACTTGCAGCACTTCCCATTGGTAGAGACTGGTTGTCTTCAAATCCATTACATCACTTATTGGAAATTCAGTTTAGGCAGTTTAGGCAAAGGTTCCGGATAGGATTTAAAAATTTCATACCTCCTTTGCAGTGTTTCAGCACTAATGGTAGACATCCCATCTCACCACAGAAAAGATGTGGAGCTTTTGGAGAGAGTACAGAGGAGGGCCACAGAAATGATCCAAAGACTGAAGTACCTCTCCTATGAAGACATAGTGAAAAAACTGGGCTTCTTCATCCTGGAAAAGAGAAGGGTACAGGGACACCTCATTGCAGCCTTCCAATATTAAAGGGAGTTTATAAACAGGAGAAAAATCTATTTTGTACATGGGTGGATAGTGATAGACAAGGTGGAATGATCTTAAACTGAAGGAGGGAGATTTAGATTGGATGTCGGGGGAACTTTTTCACTGAGAATGATGAGGTACTAGAACAGGTTGCCCGGAGAGGCTGTGAATGCCCCATCCCTGGAGGTATTAAGGCTGGGTTGGAGGGGGCCTGGACAGTCTGATCTAGTACTTGCTCCAGCAGCTGGCAGCCCTGCCTGTGGCAGAGAGCTGGAACCTGATGATCCTTGAGGTCCCTTCCAATCCATGCCATTCTATGATTATTTGATCCTATCTATGATTAGGTGATTCTGTGATTCTATGAACTCTCATAGATAAACTAAATAGATACTATATATCATCTTTGCAGTTTGGCATCTGATAGCAAACTGAAGTCAAAAGGTTAAGTCAATTGTTCTGACCTCGTACCTTAAGTCTGAACTACTTATTCCTACCTTCCTTCAGATGAAGCAATCACATAAAAATGAAGCACTTTCTAATAAAAACAGTAAGTGTTCAGACCTCTATTCAAGACAGAAGGAATTTTGATAGTTCTGATTTTATGGACTGTAGACTAGGGAGGCAAAGTATGTTGATTTTCTTATAGAGGATAGAAATAAAGTGAAATGAAAGCAGATGGATCTGCCCTAGCAGTGAACCATTGGATACAATACTTTGCTTCAGTGAGTATCCAAATTATTTTCAGGTAGTTTGGCACATAGGTAATTTATGTGCTTCGTTCTCTGCCTGCTATTTAGAAGCTGTTTCTCAAGCAGGGATTGTTCTCTGAACTGTTCACCTTTGCATGCACTATTTCACTCTTAACTCTTCTAATATTCCTCTTAAGGTTAACTTAGTGAAGTGAATTCAATACACTTTTTTGTTGCACTCAGAGACTTTGCTTGTGGCTAGAGTCAAACTGAAAACGGCAAGGGTGCTCCTAGGTGACTGCCTGCTTGATGACTGAGTGCATGATGCAAGAGAGGCTGTCCCAGCCATGATATGTTTGCTGTCACTGAGGAGCTATGACTGTAGTGTCTCTGCAAAGAGCAATGCCATCGAGTACATTTTTTGGACAAAAAATGAAAATTTTTCCTTTGAGATCTGAAATACAAAAAGTGACTTCTAGATGTAGTGATCTGTTTCATACTTTGGGATATAAAGCAGAAAACTGAAGCACAAATTATTGTTTCAGACAAGGTACAACTCAGAGTTAAAACCACTCAATATCCTGAGTTCCCTGATCCCACAAACACAAACCAATTGCCCCCTTCACTTGTGAAGCCTAGGATAGAGAGGCGATACTCTCCATAAGGACAGTTACAAAAGATTTTCAGAGGAAGCAGCTGAAAAACTAACAACTGTCCACAATGGGACTTTAGTACCTGGAAATCACAGTACTGAATGAAGTATCCAGAGTGTCTGTACAGAAAGACTTAAACACTTTAGAAGAGCAGGATACACATTTGCATCATTACATCATGCCTCAGTACATCCTTCCTCCAACAAATTAAAACAAAAAAAGTCAAAGGCCTCAAATGAGTATGGCAGCAGCATTATTATAAGAAATTGCCAGGTAACACCACCATATCTATGTGATTTAAATAACAAATACACAAACGTATCTTTGGAGGTTCTCAGACTTTTCAAAACCATCTGAAAGAGCTGACGCAAGTAAATTTATAGAAGAGGATAAATCTTGGCAAAATACTGCAGAGCAGCTCAATTAACCTGCTTCGGGGAAACCTAGTTTAATTGCTGGACTGCAATCACTTCCGATAAGTTCTGATACTAACATTATTATATATACGTCTGTAAAACGTATGTTCATCAGCTATTCTTTCTAAGGCAGCTAAATAAAGCTGACAGCCTCTCATTTAAAATTATATATATATATGTATTTGCTAGCATTATAACTTGTAAAGCAACCAGTTAGAGGTCAGTAGGTAATTTTACCGAGAGAAATAGAGATGGTAGCTTCTTCTCTCAACAGTGTTTTCCCCCTGATATGTGTTACTGCTATGTTCATTTTCTATACTGTTCTTCTGGCACAGAATTTCATTACTGTGTGGCCCACTTCCCACAAGCTACTCTGGTGTGCCATTTCCTGAAGAGCAAAATGAAGAACAGCGTCTCATCTCATAGGTGCTGGAATGAGCTGTTCCAAAATTTGATGTTCAAGGATGTTGGGAATTTGTTTTCCCACATTTCCGTAACATTCATTCAATTTCAGTAATGAGATGAAGAATTTTTTGCTGTTTTAGTTGTGTGAAGGCATCTTTGAGTGGAGACAAACAATGTGTAACTCCTAGGGTCCCTAGATTAAAAATACCTGTTATGGAGCTGCAAGCATGCTTCTGGGAAGTATCCTTAGAATAATGAAAAACAGGCCTGCTTGACTCTCTGGTCTCCTTCCAGATCCTTCTGCCAATAAGAATGCTAGTGAAACAAAGACATTACTATAGCAGTATTCTTCCAGCTTTTGACCTGTAGCTAAAAAGTTTTACTTTGTAGTGAGTACTCCACTCCAACTTACTGGCTGCATTCTCAGACCCTGAGGTACTTGCTGTCATGTTTTAGGCAGAACACTGGACATAAGAGGAGATTTCCTGCTTTTAACTCTCACTTACAGGAGAGTTAAACATGATTCATCTCAGTATTTCTTATTGTCAAAACAGACATCAGAAGCAGCATTTTCCAATGCCTTGGTTGAAGACAAGGTGTTGGTCTACATGGCTCTTCAGTTAGAACTAGGAAAGTCAGTCCTACATTCATATGTTTTAATGTTGTCAGATATTTTAGGAAAGAAGTGCCCAGAGGTTCCAAGCTGCAGTATACTGGGATACTGCACGATAGCAATTGCACCATATGCAATTTGTACGTATTTATGAAACTGCATAAAAGATTTAATTTTTTTCCCCAGATGTTAAGCCTATCCAGTATAATCACTCTGTAGTGAATCTATCTATTGTTACATTAGCACTGAGAATTTACGGCTTGAATAAATTTTTGTTACCTGGGGAAATTTACATATGTAAATTTAAGCAGCAAAAATCCCCAACCTATTGGTATTGAAGTTTTCTTGCTTTGTTTCATTAAAAAAAAAAAAAAAAAAAAAAAAAAATTAAAATAATTAATCTTCTATAGAGGCACATTTTAGCAAGATGTGCTATTTTGGAAATAGACAGCTAAGCTTTGTTAGCCTGCAAAAATTGCAAATAGATGAGAACCAACTTTTAGTAAATGAGATAAGGTGATAAAGCATGTACTCTTTAACTAATTGTAGACATAATGCATAAAGATCCCATGAAATGACTTCTGTTAAGCTAGGCATTAGAATAAATTAGCTCAGCTGTGAGAATGGTCTCTCTCTTCTTAAGAGCTGAATAGATTTGCTGTGACACTATTGTAGAAATCTCTAGAGATGCTCTGTGGATAATGATGAATATTGAATTAATTTCCAAAAGTACCCCAAAACTTTTGACTCTTAGTTGTATTACCAGGCTGACGAACTTTATGCGTAATCTTGTATCTTCTGTTTCAATATCAAAGCACACAATATAGTCATTATTCTCCCAAAGAACAACTAGCTTAATCAAAGGGATGACTGGATTCTGCAAGTGAAGCTTTTTAAAATGTAAAATTTTATTTAGCAAACCCAAATGACTCTTTCTGAATGTGACACCGGGTGTTTGTCCAAGGAGTCAGGAAAACTATTAGCTCAAAGAGAAAAGTCTGGGCTGATGGAGTTCCACATCTCCAATTACGACACATAGGGGTGGCTACTAAACAGTCAACATCTGCCAACAGTCTTTACAGAATTATTCTTTCTATAGTTTAAGAAAAAGCCTGTGCTGTCTTTGATTCTCTTGTGCAGGAACGCTTGACATTTGCGACCACAGTCTTCTGGTGCTGAAGAGAAGATTTCATTTGTCTCTCAGAGAGCTTCCAGATCAGAGCTAGCGACATCATTTGAGCTGACAGCACACAAGAACCTTCCTCAGAACAAGACAGCTTACCCATGGACAGCTGTAACTGAGCAGTAATTACATATGTACATTTATATTCTAGAGAAATGGAAAGTTGCACGCAAAGACACGTGGTCAGCGAGGTACCAGTACACAAATACAGTAGGGAATTCAAGTAGGATTCCCATTTTGCGGTGCTGTGGCTCACAGTAATTTTAGTCCAATTCCTATCAGTCCTTAAGGGAAGGATTTGTGAAGAATTCAAATGTAACTAAAGAGGCATGGGAATGCAGGGCAGGTACTGAGGAAAGGCTCAAAATCCCATCTATGGAGAGTCCCATGTAGCAAGTTCGGTATTGATAGTAACAAATTCACCAAACAGGGTGCCAGCTGTTGTTACCTGTAATTCTCCCAGACAGTGAGACCTACTACCTGCACAAGCATACTCATCTCCAGTTGCAGTTTAACACAAGTTTAATACAAGCCTACTTCTACCAGAAGTTCTGCTTTTATTTATCAAATCTGAATACGTGGCAGCAAAAGTAAAAGATCTTACCAGGAGCTGATCCGGAAAAGTGTCTGTCAGCCAAACAATGAAACTAAGACCGGTTACCCACGGAAAGGAACACCAGCTGCTCTTTCAGCTACTTACTTCACTCTCTGTTAACAGCAGGAGTTAGATTAGTAGGTTGTTCCTCTACAGAGCATTAATTAATAAATTAATCCCTGCATAGCCTACTTCCCAAAAGGCAGAACATTCACTGTAGATGAGATTTTGCAAACACAAGGAGAGAAGAGCACAGTAAAAGAGACAGGTACAGGAAAGTATAGGGAGATGTTGTTTACCTATAAGAATGAGCTTATAAAATGAGCCCTTTAACAAGGTCGTGGTTTTGTAGCTTTTAACATGGGTTTAGACATAATTGTCTACTTCATAGTT